GTCCTTGTACGCCGTTTTTAACATTTCAAGAGTTTCTGTTGCACTTTTCCCGAGCAAAAAGCAGAATTTCACAGCCGCACGCTGTTCACGAAAATCAGCCATTGCAAAAACGACGATCACACAAAACAGTTGTCACTATAAACTCTGCCGAAACTAGTCCTTACCTTCTGAAGCAACGGTAGTCGGCTTATCGACTCAGGAATGTTAGCTCTATGCGCTCATAGCGGCAAAACGCTGCACTACAAAAGCTCTGCCCACAAAAAAAATAGGTCGGTTTCTTTTGGGTACCCCATCGTATTGAAGATGAGAGTGACTATGCTGAAAAATAATGCCAATTGCATGTGCTGTGAAAAAGTACGTAGAACTTCTTTTCATTGAAAGGGCCTTTAAATGCATATCGCTTTTGTAGGCTGTGAGAATCAGACGTACTTTTCCTCACTTGTTTCCAAAAGCCCGGTGTTGGATGATTCTAGCTGCTAATGCAGGATGATTTTGTTACGTTTTGACAAAGTAATGACACACTACTTATAAATAAACATATCTTATTTGACTGTGTAATCGGCCCGCTTCTCGGTTCATTTGTTCCGGCAGCCCGCGAGTGTTCATGCCACTGGCATGCTTTCGGTTTGGGCGTAAACCATTCATACGACATGTTTACATAGACAGTGGAGATTTTAGCTGAAATTCCATCTGTGTTATTGTTGGTTGTCTCGGGGCATGATGATGGATTTGCTCCCTAACCCCAATAGCAGGCGGACACCCAGAACGAGCATTATCGAAAACACTTGTCCGCCCTTCTGTTCTTCTTGTTTATAACCCGCTGTCTCGTTCATTGCTGCCAAAGTAATAGTTGAGGTAAGCGGCCTCCGTAGTCTAGAGGTAACGTTCCCACCTCATGACTCGTGGTACGCGGGTTCAAACGCGGCGGAGGTCGTCGATTTTTTAAGGGCGGATAAATTCAGGGAACAAGTCCTCCGGGAGGGACTTCAAGCCGTGTGTCCCGTGTCGTAGCTTTACGGCACGTAAAAGAACCTCATATCTCCAAAGGAGGTCACTGAGCCAAATTCAAGGACGTTTCCCGCCCAACAAGTAGTCTCTAACACCTCTGACAGCTGGGGGAAGCATTATAGATACCGCCAAGCTAGTGGAGGCCGAACTCGCTGGCTCGGTCGGGACTGATGGTACGCACCAGTATCGGTAGGATATAGAGACTGGTAGAATATCATAGAGGGAAGCACAATGGACCAATACTGGTCTAATTGCATGGGGGAAACGCACCCTCTCCAATAACTAACTAACTAATAGTTGAGGTAACATGTCAGCTGCACCATACGACTGTACTTTATGCACACTGCAGTACTTGGGAAATGTGAATGCACTTCCCACTTTGATCTGTGTATGTTAACATTAATGGTCCTACAAATTATGCAGAGCACCAAGACTGTGTGCAAACATACATTCCTGTTTAAACAGAAAAAAAATGTCGTGGACCACCTGAAGATGGTACTAATACATATTAATTGAATGTGTAGTGGCTTATTTTCGACCCTGAAGATGGAGGCAGCATGTTCCTCCGAAACGTCGCTTGATTTTTCAGCAGGCCACACGACGTTATATGCTGGAAGATATAATTCTTTTTGCTACATTGTATACAAAACATCGTGTAAGTGAAGTAAAGGTATCCCTGTAACAGGCCGTGGAGGCCTATAGAGTTGTGAGATGTTGAGGTTCCCACATTTTCTAGACAATCGGCTCATAGATGGCGGCAAGGTTGTGAGCCTTACGCGCCGGCCGCCATTTACCCCCAAGAATATTCCTGGTACTCATTTCTAGAGGCTGAGTCGACCCCAGGGCCATAGTGCGGCTGGAAGGATTAGGTAAATATAAAAAAATTCCAATGACCTCATCGGGATTTGAACCCGCGACCTTTCGACTTGTAGCATAGTGCCTCAACCAAATGCGCTACCGCGTGCCCCCCTCGTGTAGATATCACAATTCATTTATGAAATTAAATCAGAATATTTGGGATAGAAAGCTGAAAATTTAAATGAGGCAATTGGAAGGAGGAATGATAATGATTTATCTAATTCTTAGAGAATAAAAATCGTGACGTTGAAAGCATTATGAGCCATTAAACATTCGTTATAGTATTTTGTTGGTTAAGAGACTTGTGGTAGATTTTATCTTCACTGCAGAGCTTTGACTGTTTTTAGGAAAATGATCTAGTCAATATATTGCCTAATTAATTAGTAACTGCAACATTTTGTGGGTACTTTTCAGCTGTCATATCCTTTCGGTTACTGACATTTGTTCTGCAAATCTGCAAAACGATTGGACGAATAATTTGTGATGTGTGAAGGAATTCGCAAAGAGGTTGCTTCGTAAGCATATGTCCTACCGAAACAATTCTGTAATACTATCATCACATTTCAGACTGGATGGAATTTTCCTCAGGTATCGACAGGTATCATATTCGTATAAAGTGCCTCCCCGGTTCCGGTTCGATTTCGTTTAGAAATTAAGCATGATTTCTCGTATTCGTACAAGGAATAGTATACGTCGACTGTAGGTTCCTCCCTGTGGGTACTGGAGCCAGCGGCAAAGAGGTTGAATGCTGTGGGTATGTGGCTGTTCTCGCTATTGCTTAATAATAGCGTTGTACTTAACTCCGTGGCCTGTAGTCCGCAAGCGAACTATACCGACCGAGCGACCGCCGCTTGTCGGCGAAGTTAGTTCCAACTTTAGCGGATAGAGGGTGTTGCGTGGTCAGCGTAACGAACCCCCGCGGCCGTTAGTTTCGATTTTCTAGACCGGAGTCGCTGCTTTCCATTCAAGTAGCTCCTCAGTTATCCTCTCGACGCCGAGTGGATCCCGTTCCAGACCTACTACTTCTCAGAAAATTTGGTATCGCCGGGAATCGAACCCGGACCTCTGGATCTGTCGCCAGGAACTCTGACCACTAGACCACAGAGACGGTAATATTTTAATAATGTAATTATTAGGCCAGTCAAAGTGGCCGCGCGGTCTAAGGCATAAATTGTCTTTGCTCTCTCGAGGACTGGGATCTGAGTTCGAATCCCATTCAAGGCATGGATGTCTGTGTTTGTGCTGTTTTGTGTGTAGGTAGTGGCCTTACGACGGCCTGATCCCCTCGTCCAAGGAGTCCTGCTGACTATGTGTAAGATTACGAGACTGAAAAGCGGCCAGGGCCCAACAAAGGGCTGTAGAACCACGAATGACGTTTCTTCTTTGATCGGTTTACGCGACTGTCTCTGTTTGAGAGACTTTGCGTTCTCACGATGGTTTACCCTTTCTGAGATGGGAAGCCGTATAGTCTTATGGATTGATATCATTGTTTCGGAGGAATCTACTGCCGTCGTCTTCAGTGAAGAACAGTAAGAAGACCAGAAGCTTGTTGTCGGCCTCTTTCCAGCATGCCGTTTCGTGGTGTTGAGCCCTGATGTAGGCATATGCCCATATTTCAGTTATTTAGCAATGCACTTTACTGTTTTGTCCCTTTGTCTCTTATCTAACAAGAGTGTGGTTCGTAAGATACAAAGCATAAAAGAATATACCGTCTACACAACAACACCCTGTATTTTAGAACAAATGAGACACTACTGTATCAACATTTGTTTTTATTAAGGCTTTTATGGACGTGACATGTTTCGGCCCCTATATCAGCCATCATCAGGCGTACAGTATTCGGCTTTAAGCTGCTGAACTGTATCCAGTTATAATTCAGTTCACTAAAGAAGAATCCTTATTGTGTTTTTGGACTTAATTCAAATACATAAGCAAAAAAAAAAGTAAAGGTATCCCTGTAACAGGCCGTGGAGGCCCATAGGGTTGTGAGATGTTGAGGTTCCCACATATTCTATACAATCGGCTCATAGATGGCGGCAAAATTGTCAGCCCTACGCGCTGGCCGCCCTTTACCCCCAAAAATATTCCTGGTACTCATTTCTGTTAGAGGCTGAGTCGACCCCAGGGCATAGTGCGGCTGGAAGGATTAGGTCAATTGAAAAAAAAAGATCCAATTACCTCATCGGGTCATGAACCCGCGACCTTCCGGCTTGTAGCATAGTGCCTCAACCAACTACGCTACTGCGTGCCCCCTAATTCAAATACATAAATATGTATATAAAATTAGTCTTGGTCGAAATTTTAACTTAATGTACTTAAATAATACAATTAAAATTATAACCCAAAAAAGTTAAAGTTAAAATCATGAGAAATTAAAAACCAGATGTTGAAGATTAAGACGATAAAAGTGTGGTTCGGTCATGCCGGAAGTAAGCTGTATACTCATTTAAATTTTTTTTTGTACTCTGTCATTGCGCCAGCGTTTCTCAATCTTTACAGTACTGCGACCCCTAAAATAATACATGACGTTACCCTTCTTCTCTGCCGTTCGGCGGAAAGTACAATTGTGTGCATTTGTGCAGGTCCCTAGCAGGTTGTACTCTGACAGCAGGAACCGAAATACCGTATTTACGCATGTATAGGCCGCACATTTTTTGCCAAAAATTCAAGAGGAAAACTGGGGTGCGGCTTATATTCGAAATCACACTTCATTTAAAAAAAAATATATTCATAATTAGTAATACAGGGTGTTCTACTCCTGAAATAATATTCCAAGAAAATTATTTTTTCTATAATTTCTGTCTGAAAATTGTGCTGCGGCCTATACATGCGTAAATACGGTAGGTTTGCACCCTCTCTCAGCTATACAGTATGCCTGCACAGTCACGAGATAGTTAGCGAAATATATCGCCGGCTACAGATACATTTTCCGAATCGCCTATGTTACGTCTTATTGACTTACTGACTTTCCGAACAGTGCGTGGATACAGCTAGGCCCATATTTTTTTAAGTCTGCCCAGGAGTGGATGGTGGCAAGGTTTGACCTGAAAAGACTGCTGGGCGTTAGTATCGTCTTTATTATTTATTTGGAGTCAGTAAGTGAAATGACGTGGTGCTTGCTTTTTCTTTTTCAGGACCGGTGACTGTGCCCATGGTGTCAACGAATTCATCGCCCCCCATCGCGATGCCGGTGCAAGTGCCCCCCGGTCACGTGGTCCAGCAGATTGTAGACGAGAGCGGAACGCTGCGACACGTGATTCTGTCCCCGCAACCCCCCATCGTCCCTATGCCTCCAGCTCACTACGTGAGTATAAATGTAATTCGTCTTCATTTGTCACAATTGGTGTCTGACCCCCTCCCCCCCGACACGTGGAGAAGACACGTACTGGAATTATCTCATTATGGAAATTTACTGTTTTAGGACGTAATCGACACTCAGTCGATGTAGGTTGTAACTCCTTGTAGTTTAGCAGTAGTCCACAGACATTTCGGAGGACCACAGTGCCTCAATCTTGCGCAGTTTTATCCTGTCTTTCTTATTTTTTGTTGTTGGCGTAAGCAGAGGGTCTGTATAAGTGAAATGAAAATTAAATTAAGTTGAGAAGAATTACGTCTTCTGGGATGTGGCGCCGTGTAGATATCTTGATAACCGACGTTTCGGAGGAACGTATCGCCTCCATATGCAGGGTATAAGAAATCCGCGAGCGATAAACCAGCGTGAGCAGGTGGCTGCAGACTGAGTGCCAGTCAGAAACACCCAGCTATATAAGAACAGGAAGGGAGGGAGAGGGACCACGTGGGAAATCAATAGAGAGGAGAGGGGAAGGTATAGGATTGTGTCGAGGAGAAGACGGAGGCGATACGTTCCTCCGAAACGTCGGTTAAAATATCTACACGGCGCCACATCCCAGAAGACGGCACTCTTCATAGTCACCGCCGTGAAAACCTCAAATCTTAAATGAAGTATTTGTAAATCTTACGGATAGCGGATTCTGAAGGGTTCTGACGATACTTTGGTGCAGTATGGGCTGCTTTCCCCTATGTAGTAAATCACGAACGATCGAAGAGTGTTTTATTTCCTTGCAGTCGTATATTCTGTGAGTATGATAGGCCTAATATTTTTATCTGAATAGGAGTATGTGACGTATAGTGCACTTTATAAAGGAGAGGTTTTTTTTAATGCTAGTGGGGTGGGACTAAGTCCCTTGTACTGCGGCCTCTTCTGGCCTATTGTACCAGCCCCAGATGATAGATGAGGGTGATTGTGGAGCAATTGGTGGAAAGAAGATTGGCAGGGGAAACCGAAGTACTCGGGCGAAAACCTGCCCCAGCGCCATTTTATCCACCACAAATCACACTTGACCAGACCCGGGATCGAACCCGGACCTCCGCGGTGGGAAGCCAGCGAATAACCGCTTGAGCTATGGCGCGGCCAAGGAGAAGGGTTACAATCGACCGTTTGTGCGTGTTATTTGTGGGAGATAGTTCTGAATGTTGTCCTGAATCCAACATTCGTTAACATGTAGGATTGGAAAAGATTACAAGAGAAATCAGGAGAAGTGCGAAATGTTGAGGCTTCCCTTTGGAATCTCAACGGATTTTACACTAGTTTTATTTAAACACGAAATCTGAATATTTTGAGGTAAATAAAAACGTAAATATGAACCTACTAACTCCATAGACCAGCAGTTTCTCAGCTTCTCAAGAAGCTTCTTGCCTTTTATGGCGTCTTGAGTTTCATTACAGAAGCACATAACTGGAGTTCTTTCTCCGTTAACACACAAATTTTTACTTGGATATACTTACGTTTTATTTTCATTGTTTTTAATTACTTATAAGTTAAAAAGTAAAGGTATCCCTGTAACAGGCCGCTGAAGCCCATATGGTTGTGAGATATTGAGGTTCCCACATTTTCTTTAGACACTCGGCTCACAGATGACGGCAAGGTTGTCAGCCCTACACGCCGGCCGCCCTTTACCCCCAAGTATATTCCAAGAATATTCCTGGTACTCATTTCTGTTAGAGGCTGAGTCGACCCCAGCGCCATAGTGCGGCCGGAAGGATTAGGTCAATTGAAAAAAATTCAATGACCTCATCGGGACTTGAACCCACGACCTTCCGGCTTGTAGCATAGTGCCCCAATTACTTATAAATAGGTTAATGAACTTCCGTGGCCTCAGTACATATAAATAGGTTCAAGCCGCGTATGTAAAGCTTCGGGTCGTGGTTAATAGTGGATGCCTAGAAACTACGGAAGTGACAGAATACACATTAATGACGTTCATTTGCTGGCTCGAGCGATCAGCACTTACAGATATCACGAATACAAACATGGGCGTCTGCTGTCTGTTGCGAAAGAAGTGTTGGTGCGTTTATCGTGGCTTTGACCTCGACCGAGACTTCTGTTTATGAAACATCTGGTACATACTTCGCTTTTGAAAAAAATGGACTTCTGAAACAAAATACTACCAATAAGTGCGTAAATAAATGTTGGCCCTACCCACTCACCAGTAGGAACATAACAATTCGTGCCATTCACTTCGAATATCTCATTTTGCACGTTGCTTTATGTGGGTGTGAAACTTCGCCTCTTATCCGAACCGAAATAGATTGAAGATATTTGAGAATAGGGTGCTGAATAGAACTTTTGGGCTTATGAAGGGGGATGGAAAACTTGCATAATGAGGAAAGAGCTTCATAATTTATACTCAGTAAATGCCAGCGCGGCCGGTCTGAGGCATGTACTGTCTTCGCTCGCATGGAAACCGGGATCGTGGGTTCGAATCCCACTCAGGGCATGGATGTTTTGTGTATGTGCGTTTTTCTGTGTTTGTGTACAGGTAGAGGCCTTGCGACGAGCTGATCACCCGCCCAAGGAGTCCTACCGAATGTTTAAGATCTAGAAAAACAAGTGAACGGAGAAGTTCATGGAGGTAGGCCTAGGCCCACTGGGGCAGTAGTGCCAAGAAAAAGAGAAATGCAGGCGCGTGATATGGGCGGGAAATGTGTTGCGCAAGGGAGAAAGAATGAAAATAAATTTTCCTTAAGGTAAAAAACAAACTTTGGAGACCTAAGAACAAATGGACGGATAATGTTAAATCGGATCTTAACCAAATTGCGGTTCCCTTAGTTTTGTTTAAGGTCCATGGTGGGATTTTGTGAACAGTGATGGGTCTTGGGTTTCTCAAAATTAAGGAATTTCTTGGCCAGGTAAGTAACGTAAGCTTTTCAAGGAATACTGTGTTGGGACCGGACCGATAGGCGCCCATTGTGAAGTGAGGGAAGTGAATGTAAGAGAAATATGGGAAAATTTTAATTATGCGTAAGCGTATATAAATCCAGAGCGTAATCCCGTGGTAACTTCCCGTTCCTCCTGCTACTTACACAGGACTATCAAAGTGAGACAGGTACTAGACAAACTTTTATAAATTCTCTGACGTATTATGCTGGAGATGTCAGCACGCTTGAACCCCAATTTCGGCATCGTTAATATCAAAACCCACAGTTGGACACCCCACACCGTAATAGAATTATTCTTATTCCGCTTCACAATCTTTGTGCACTGTATTCACCATTCCGAGGCAAAGCACTGACGGCACATTTTAATCTTACTGTCGCGACTGCCTCTGTGGTCTAGTGGTCAGAGGTCCCGGGTTCGATTCCCGGCGCTACCAGATTTTCTGAGAAGTAATGCGTCTGGAACGGGGTCCACCCAGCCTCGTGAGGATAATTGAGGAGCTATTTCAAGGGAATAGCGGCTCCGGTCTAGAGAACTGAGGTTAACAGCCGTGGGGATCCGTTGCGCCGACCACGCGACACCCTCTATCCGCTAAAGTTGGCATTAACTTCGCTGACAAGCGGCGGTCGCTCGGTCGGTATAATTCGCTTGCGGACTACAGGCCACGCAGTTTTTTTTGTCGCATCAGTATGTCGTCAGTGTGATGGGCTTCAGAAATGGGTTCCCATAAATGTATATATTTCTCCAGTCGACGTGTATGGTCGGTCTGTCGCAGTCCGCTTGGTGTCACCACGTTGCTTGTGAGAGTCACAAAGGTAGTCGTTATGTAATATCCAGAATTGCATTGCTGCTTCATCCGTTACAGAGCAGGTTGGTGTAGCCGTAATGCTTTGCACTCGTATTTTGGAGGTGCTCAGTTCAAATCTCGGCAAGAACACCGACTATCTTGACTGACTATTTTCGTAATGTTTCTGTTCCACAAAGCAATACCTCCATTAGCCTGCGACCGCTTCTATGTAGACCAGCCCTGTCCAACGCGGCGCCCGCGGTATATTTTTCTGGCGCCCTCCGTAACCACATATAATTGAGCCGATTTTTAATATTCAAATTGTAAGACAAGAGAAATTTTTGAACGTCTGAGTACTGTTAAATATTTTCGAAAAATTTTATCATTATTATTATTAGTAGTAGTAGTAGTAGTAGTAGTAGTAGCAGTAGCAGTAGTAGCAGCAGCAGCAGCAGCAGCAGCAGCAGCATTGTGCCCGAGTACGTAAGAACGTTGGACAGCACTGATGTAGATCCTTCAGCTGCATTATGTGTAATCCCAGATACAGCGTTATAAAATAAGCCACAAAGTGTCATCCATGTTAGGTCCTAGTACCGAGCTTAATAAACTATACCAAATTATCCATTCCTAGAACTAACACTGCAGGGATGTATATTTTGAAAAGTCATTTCTTCTGACTTGTCAGTCCTGTTTTAAATGGATGCACGCCAGAGATAATGTGTTGAAAGAAATGCAGTCTGTTGGTTTCTCTACGACTGAATGCAGTGAAGACTTCTCGGCCAACATCCGTATCGATAAAACTGTATAACTGAGGTAAAGCGCTCCCCGTGAAGTTGATAGCCAGATTCCAGTTATCAAAAAACCGCGTCAAACTGTTAACGGAGATAGAAGTTGGAGGGGGTAGGGTCAGTGCAGCTGTTGGTAGTCAATTGAGAAAAGTGGTACGGTATCCCTGTTGAACTCGACGAAGCAGTGTAAATATTCCGTTGATGAAATGTGCGCGAGAAAACAAGATACAATGAAGTATGTTGTAATCTGGAATTTTTTCCTTTTTTCTCTTTGTAGTACTCTATAAAACTGTTTGAAATATATCTACCACGTGACAAGCACTGGTGTGAAACTCGTGAATTTCATATGAGCAAAACGTTTGAATCGCAGACAACTGATATACCTGTTGCAAGAAACTGGACAAGTTTATATACCATTCCACTGTTCGTTATCGGAACTCAGCTAAACTCAGGAAGAGAGTGTCAGGTCTTGAAGAAGAAATATTGATAAT